CTGGATGCCACCAACATCCACAAGCCTTACTTCCCTTGGTCTTCTGTTCCTATACTGAGCCCTGTGGCTGAGATGGCTCAACAGGCCTGCCTATCTTTTGTTTAGGAAACTAAACAATGGCAGGAAGGGTAGATACAAGACATCATTGCCTTGTGAGATGTCAAAGTCATCACCAATATGAGTTCAGTGATGTAAGGGTGGAGGTTGCAAAATGGAGGCTTCAAGCCTACAGGTTGGTTTTACCTGGCTCCATTCTATCCCAAGACAACAGATTTTAATTCTTTTTCAGGTTCTTTTCTTCTTGTTTCCCCTTCCTTCCCTTCCTTCCTTCCTTCCTTTCTTCCCTCCTTCTTTTCTTTCTTTCTTTCTGACAGTTTCACTTTGTCACCCTCAGTAGAGTGTGGTGGCATTGTCATAGCTCACAGCAACCTCAAATTCTTGGCTCAAGTGATCCTCCTACCTCAGTCTCCCTAGTAGCTGGGATTGCAGAAGATTTTCTTAGTGAGGAGTCACTTTTTATATTTCTAGGGAATTTAAGACAGGAGCAGCATAATGCCAGGTAGCCACCTGTTCCCAAGAGCTGCCCATACAGCTCTTTCTCATGTGGTTTGGCACCTAATCTCCCCCATACGGATTTATCCACCTAGACTACGCCCTAGAGTCCCAGCTTGTGTGGGTCTTTCCTGTTGTACCCACATGTTTAAGTATTTTCTGAAGAGAGCACATCACACTTTTAAAATGTGGCCATAGTTTTTGCATTTCTAAAAGCCACAGACAGAATCAGGAAGAACAAGTGAGTACCTGTTTATTAGGATCCTTCTCTGATTCTCCAATCTAATTATCAAAACCAAACATCTACAGGGTTTTTGGTTTCCCCATATACTGTTTTCATTTCTGTTCTTCAGACACCTGTATGTATTCATTCACTTTATGAAGAACAAATGTACTGCTAAATCCACACAGCATTACACATCAGACTATTAACCTTTTCAGGGTATGTTTCTTTAGCTGAAACATTTATGTAATATCCTAATTTGTAATGCATATATCATTACAAAGGTTCAAAGGTGTGGTACTTAATGTACAGCTCAGGGAAAAAGGAGGTCAAGTAATGGAAGGAGAATATAAATATATAATTCTGGTTTCTGATACAAAATTCTTATAAAAGGTGCCATAATAATAAAAATAAAAGCTAACAGTTAAGCACTTTTGAATTTCCAGGAGCAAGCAGAAGTCACTTTTCATGTGTATGAATTCATTTAATTCTCCCAGTCCTCTAGGAGAGATGTGAGAAAACTGTGGCCCGGAGAGGTTCTGTGTTTAAGACCGACGTCTATACATGGCAGGGCCAGGGCACATCTCCCAACCATACCATTCAGTGCCCCACGGCTGCCCCTGTGATGCAGATGACTACAACAAAGTTCCACTATTTTATGCAGCTTATTTCCCACGAATTATTTACATTCTGCTTTATTATCCCTTTCTGTCTCTGATCACCATCGTCTCTGTACAGTCAGATTTAAGGAAGGAAAGGTGACATTTTTAGCGCCCTGTACTCAAGCCAGGCCTAGGGGGGTGGGTAGGGGGAAGGGCACACAGTGGGCGGAGTTACCCCTTTCCTGGGCCCGCCCCTTGTATTTAACTGCCGGCTCAGACTCTGTTAACCCTCCCAAAAACTTTGTAAAGAGCTTATAAAGGTTAGATAAAGGGAAAATAAATATAATAGTAAATGACCAAGCCACGTCCCCAACACAGAATATACTCGTATCTTCCGTGTTTTAAGACTTAACTACCGAGTTCAGGGTCCGGCTTCGGGGATCGTGGTGCATTTTAAAAGCGAGCCAGTTACCCAGGACCTGTCTCCTTTGGCCTTGGGGCTGGTTGGGTGGCACATTTTATTTCCAGGGCTCCCTTCCCCTCAGGGAGACCAAAAGCCTTCCGTTCACAGTCCAGAAGCTAGATCACCTGGAGGTCCCCAAACCAGCACCACTTTTTACTACTCCCCACCAATACTTAAGAAAGTGGTCAATAATTTAGAAATCATTTTTGCCTTCAGCTCTATTTCTGCTTTTGTGTGCAAGCACATAACCAGGTGCCCTGAGAAAAGGCTCTCAATAAATGTTAGCTCCCCTTCCTTCCCCTTTCCTGGCAACAAGTGCAATATATTCTTTGTTCTCTGGTGACTTGCCAACTTTCCTGGTATTCCATCAGCCTACCATTGTCTGGTTTTACAATAACTTCCACTTCTGAAAGCATGGCACCACATGTACTTACTTTGAACATGAAAGTAAATTAAATTTGCTCTGAGCATTTCATAACGCTTTCTGACACGTGGGGCCTCACGAAAGTGAGCTTAGGATCGTAGAGTGCGAAAGAGAATAAAATGAAAAATTGACAGTTAACACCTACCCAGAAGTGTACAGTTTATAATATGACAAATGGATCTCCTTTTAGGAAGAGAGCACATGTAAATAATTGTCAGTAATGTGCAAGGAATTCAATAGTATGGCTTTTTTGATGTTTTTATGATAAAATCACAATATACATTAAATGCAATAGGAAAAATGCATTAACTACTTGATAAGATAAGAGAGCTTCAGGGAGCACATTTCCTTCGCTGGTTTCACAGGGTGTTTGTACTATTTCTACTTAGTTAACAAGAATCTGTAATCATGATTTTAGCTCTAATGATGGCATTTAACAGAAAAACAACATTGAAGGGGGAATCCCCCCCCAGGACTTAGAGCCAAGAGTTCCAGGTTTGATTCAGGCAGGCCTTCATTTGTGCTGTCACCTCTCGGAACTCCAAAGTCCTTACCTGTAAACCCAGGATAAGGACCTGGCCCTACCTCTCTGTGGTAGGCAGAATAGCGGCCCCTTAACGATGTCCACTTCCTCATCTCCAGAACCTTGTCAATATGTTATATTACACGGAAAAGAGGAATTAAGGTTACAAATAAAATTAACATTGCTGCTCAGTGGAGCTTAAAAGTAGAAGATTGTCCTGAATTATCCGGGGGGCTCAATGTCATCACGAGGGTTCTTAAGAAAAGTCAGTCAAAGGGAGAGATGACCACAGAGGAGGCGCAGAGAGAGGTGATGTTGCTGGCTGTGAAGTCAAAGAGAGCCATGAGGAAAGGACACCGATGGCCCCTGGGAGGTGGAACTGCAAGGAAACAGATTCTCCCCCGCAGCAGAGCGCTGGGCCCATGTCCAGGTATTCTAACCCATGGGTCTGGGTGGGGCCGAGGAACTTGCATTTCTAACAAATTCTCAGGCCATGCAGATGCCCCAGGGAACCACTAGACTGGAAACAGGGGCCATCTTCCCTGACCAGCATGTGAGAAGAGTGATCCTCACGAAAACAAACCCAACATGAGGGGAATCTTGGGGCCTCAAGTCTGGAGGGGAAATGCCAGCAGGCTCACCCCAAGTCAAAATTTCCCTTCTCTTATCAAACTAGGAGATTTCATTTTATGGTTTGGGAAAGGAAGGAGGCTATTAAGTACAGACAAGCCTCCTAACGCTAAGCCAAAGTCACTAGCAAACTCTGAGCGTCAGGAAAGACAACCTAAGCTTATTAAAGTCATGCTAATGGAATGTGGCAGACAGAATGGTGAAGGGATGATTTGGGAACACAAGTGTTGGGGAGGTCTAATGCAGCCGCACATGAACCCCTGCCCCTCCTAAGACAAAGACATAAAGGATCTGGCTGCCCCCTTTCCCAAGTTCATACCAGAAGACCAAAACCTCTAAAGTTTTGGGCAAGCTGCGAAATTTGCTCACCCTCTAGGCTCCGTATAAAAGGGGTGTCTAACTGCCCCCAGGTGCAGACGCCATCTTTGTATTACCCAGGGGGGAAGAGTCACCCTCCCCTTTCAATAAATCTGGTCTGAACATCTCCACTGCTACCTGCTCTCTGGGCACCACCACTTACACCTTTCAAGGAGGACATTTGGAGGGAGGCAGGACAGCCAGAGGACAACCAGAGATGTCCAGGCAGAGAAGAAATCCCCAGAGGCTGGGTGTGGGCCAGTTTTGCCCAGGGCCACACTGTCCCTTTGGCCGATGATGGTCATGCTCCCTGGGGCCTTTGGCCCATGTTCCATAGCGTCCCCTGCATGGACTTCCTGCCACCTCCCTGTATTGTCCTCTTGTAAAGAGATCCAGGGCTGGGAAGGGGAGCCTGGCAGCCTGGTGCAGGGCCTAATGTGCTGCAAGAGCACTTTCTAGCAGCCAAACCTGGCAAATAAACAGACTGGCTGCCCTTCCTGTGGGCCAATGGGTCAACTCCTGCTTTTAAGAGCCACCAAAAAAAATCAATAAAGCCATACAGTATCTTCCTCCCTGAGCTGTTTCTGTTGCCTTCTGCAGAGTCCGTGAGCTGAATATGTTCTGTTCTATGGCTATTTCTAGGAGAGACCACCTTCGAAGCACTAAATGATTTCCCTGTGAGCTTAATATGACTGTCTCTACTGCCAGAGTAATCTTTCCAAACCACACGTCTGATTACATCTGCCCCTGCACAAAACACCCCAGTGGGTTTCCAGGGCTCTTAAGATAATGACCAGAATCCTAAATAGGGTATTCTCTGTGCTTTTCTCATGCCAGACTTTTTTTTTTTTTTTGGCTTCTCTTTGGGGCCATGTGCCTCCCCTCACTGTAGGCTGAGACCCATTAGCTCAAAAGCCTGCTAGTACCAAACCCAAATTGTTACACATCCAACTGTTTTAAAATAACCAAACAATCAGGTTTTTAGTCATTTGAGGCCAGACTGTTTTACACACCCATGAAACCATACCCAGCATCTGCTGGCCTCTGATAGGCTAGAGCAGCGGTTCTCAACCTGTGGGTGGTGACCCCTTCGTAACAATGAAAATACATCCTGCATATCAGATATTCACGTTACGATTCATAATAGTAGCAAAATCATGGTTAAGAAGTAGCAACAAAAATAATTTTATGGTTGGGGTCACAACAACATGCGGAACTGTATTAAAGGGCATAGCATTAGGAAGGTTGAGAACCACTGGGCTAGAGCCTCCTGCTATAAGACCCCAAGCTACTATTGCCCCCAGAATGCACCTCAGCATGACCTACTATGCTGCTGGATGATGTCTCACTGACACTTAAGGCCCCTCTCCTGGCCAGGTATGGTGGCTCGTGCCTATAATCCTAGTACTCTGGAAGGTCAAAGTGGGAGGATCACTTAAGCTCAGGAGTTCAAGACAAGCCTGAGCAAGAGTGAGCACCTGTCTCTACTAAAGAAAAGAAAATTCATCCAGCAGTGTGGCAAGTGCCTTTGTAGTCCCAGCTTCTTGGGATGCTGAAGCAAAAGGATCTCTTGAACCCAGGAGTTTGAGGTTGCTGTGAGTGAGGCTTATGCCATGGCACTCTAGCCTGAGGCAACAGAATGAGACAGACTCCTCTTCAAAAAAAAAAAAAAAAAAGCTCCTCTCCAATCGCCCTCTCCCTCAGGAGTTCCTAAGGCACTTCCCTTCTGGATGCTTTGATTCCCTCACTCCCTGGCCTCTGGACAGTCCTGTGAGGACTTTCCCTTCCCTGCAGCCCTGTCCAAACCCAATAAAACTGGCTATGTTACCACCTCTCAGGGTCATAGCTCTGCCCTTGACCAGCTACCAAATCCCTCAAAACTCTATACCCAACCATCAGATCTAACCATCCTGGTCTGTTCTCCAGGCAGCTTATATATCTCAGCCCATCTCCAGGGAAGCCCTGCCCCATCCTCCCTCAAGACCAAGAGGAATCACCTCATTACACCTGCTCATAGCTCCATGAGCCTCTTACTACCAGTTGCACTAATTATCGCAGCTGTAAATTTCTCGGATTAACTTCCTGGTATTATCTGGTTATCCCACTTCCTTCCCCTGGGCTGTGATCTGTAGGACAGCAGATAGGAACTTTTATCACCACTGTAAACCTGGCACTCAGCCCAGCACCTGGCATCAAGCACACTCTCAATAGGCAGCTGTGTGTGGAATAAAGGAGGAACACCGTGACTTGATGCAGACCATGTCTGCATGGAATTTTCCATGTTCCTATGAAAAACACACGGTCTTTGCTACCCTGAGAAGTCAGTGTTTTGCCCTATTGGGTTCAATTCAGATCAACACGTCAGCCTTTTTGTTTATAATATTTCTTTGGGAGTTTTGTATGGCTGCTTGATAACCAGAGCAGTCTTTTCAAATCACAAATCCGATCACATCAGCCCCCATCCAGTCAGCTTGAGAGGAGAGGCAAGCGTTTTAAGAGAATCATTTATCATTGTTTAGAAATTTACAGACATGTGCGAGTGTGTGAATTAACAGGAATTATAGTGGAAGGTGAAATAGAATTATCTTTACGGAACTCTTACTGTCCTGTGTGAGCTATATGTCATCGTCCTATCTGAAGTCCTTAAACCACCAACTTGACCCAGGCATGTGGTTTATTTCACTACTGAGTTCAGGCACAGTGAAATGGGCCGTCAGGCTATCAAACACACCCGAGGGGAAAGCGGAGAGAGGGGGGGCATTTGTGCCGCTGACCCCCATTCCTCTATTAAGCGTTTCCTGATGTTCTTATCTACTCTGGACAGACCCGCCCATCCCGCTCCCTGCAGGGCATGGAACCATCCCTGAAAGGCCCACGGCCTTTTATGGGATGAAGTGGCCAAAAAGTCCTCAAAGATGATAAAAGCAGCAGCGTGAAATGTCAGTACCGAAGGCGTGCGCGCAGTCCCGGCCCTGCGGCGTGGAGTACTCCAGGCAGCCGGCTCGCTCTTCCAGGGGCGGGCAGGGCGCGCCGCCGTTCTGAGGCTCCTGCCGCACCGAGCGCCTCCGCACGCGGCTTGTGGGCTTGCACTCGTCCGCACAACCGCTCCAGGGGCTCCACTCCCCCACGAAGCACGGGCGAGCTGCAAAACAGGGCCACACAACAGGACGCTCACCTGAGTAAACCCAGCCAGCCTGCCAGGCTGCTCCCGCCAACACAAACCATCGCGGTGAGCCCGGGGTACCGTAAACTTCCCCTTGACCTGGGTCTGAGTCAGAACACAAAGCCTCAGCAGGTCCCACCTGGCGTCGCCTCCACATGCCCACCGTCATGGTTAACTGATAACCAGATCCCCTCTGTGGCAACTGAATACCCGGGATCCTGAAGGTGGATGTGAGCCAGGGACACACACCCAAGTAAATGCGGCGATGCCTTGAGGGTTCTTCCTCATAATCCCAGGGCTGAGATCAGATCATTGCTTTTGGTTTTCCTCAATATTAATTTTATCTGTCCCTGGTCATAACATTTTTGTTATAACAGCAGTACCTTCTTGTTGTAGAGAGCAAAGGAAAATAAGAAGTATATGAAAGAAAGTGTACTTCACCCACTCTTAATCCCATCACCTAGCCAGATGGGTTCTCACCAGCAGATGTGTCTCTATAAGGAACTTGGCTTAGGGCCACACACAGGGACTCTGAGGCTCCCAGCTTTTCCCGTTCATTCTTATTCTCCATGACTTACAGGTTCATAAACTATGAGGGTTGGAGTTCAGAAATGATCAATTGTAGTCTAGGGTAAGGTGACCAGACGTCCCGCTTTTGGTGGGATAGTCCCAATTTTTAACAATTTGTGCCGCATC